GAAGTAGATTGCCCAACCTTCCTTCTGAGGAGTGGCTGGTGAGTTTGAACCGCCAGCCTTCTGGTTAGCAGTCAAGTGCCCTAGGCACTGTGCTACCAGAGCTCCTATATACATATACATATGTATACATATATATGTATGGGAGCTCTGGAGGCATAGTGCCTTTGGGTTACTATTTGCATGGAGGTTTTTTTTAATCCTTCCTTTTTTTAATCATCCTTCCTGCCTGTTTATGGCCATTGTTTAAACTGTGTCTCTTGTAGACAGCATATGGTTGAGTCTTGGATTTTTAGCCATTTTTCCACTCTCTGCCTTTTGATTGGAGCATTTAGTAATTACATGCTAGTAATTTACATTCATAGTAATTACAAACAAGGAAGGATTTCTGCCATTTTATTTATTTATGTGCATGTGTACTTTCTCTCTTCTTTGTCTGGCATTTCCTCCAATACCGCTAAATTTTTTTATTTTTAAAAATTTTGTTACAGCTGTCAATAAAGGACGCTCATTAGAAATAAAGCTACAAGCACTTCCACTCCTAGATACATACCCGAGAGAACTGAAAACAGATGTTCACACAGAGCTGGTATACAAATGCTCACATCAGCATTACTCACAATAAGCAAAAGGTGGAAAGAATGCACATATCCATCAGTTGATGAATGCATGAACAAGACACAGCCCATCCATGCAGTGGAATATCATTCAGCCCTGAAAAGGAATGGAGCCCTGATGCATGCTACAACGTAGATGAACCTCAAGGCCTTTAGCTAAGTCAAAGAAGCCAGACACAAAGGACAAATATCATGTAATTCCATCTATGAAATAACCAGAACAAGCACGTCCATAGAGAGAAACATGATTAGTGTTCCCAGGGGCTTGTGAGAGGGGGAATGGAGAATGACTGCTAGCAGATACGGGGTTTCTTTGAAGGTGATAAAAATGTTCTGAAAAATGGTTAATGTGCTTGGCTGCTACCCAAAAGGCTGGCTGTCCCAGTCTACCCAGAAGCACCTCAGAAGAAAGGCCTGGTGATTGACTTGTGAAAAACCAGCCGTTGGAAACCTCGTGGAGCTCAGTTCCCCTCTGACACACACGGGGTCACCATGAGTTGGAATTGACTAGATGACAACTGGCTTTGGTTTGATGATTGCATAATCTTATGAACATACTACCAACCACCAAATTGTACACTTTAACAAGTTAGGTGAATTGCTTGGTATGTGAATTTTATCTCAGTTGTTAAAAAGCACGATATTATCATCATGCCTAAAAAAAATAACAATCATGCTTAGTATCAGGAATCCTATCCAACATCTTGGGACGCATTCTCTGATAGTCTCATCATCAGCGTTTTCGTGCCCACAGATTGCTCAGATCGAGATCTGAACGAGGTCACAGGATGGAGGTGACTGAGACATGAATGGATCTCTCGAAATCGAGCTCCCCTCCCACCCACTCTTCTCTATTTATTGCAGGAGAGGGCAGTTGTCCTTGCATCTTCCAAAGGCTGGGTTCTGATGGCTGCATCCCTGAGATGGGAGACCCCCTATTTTCAGCCTGCCTGACATGCATGTGTCTCACCTGACATTCCGATTATGTCTACTCCCCACCCCAACATAGCACCTAACCCAAAGCTACTGCCATTGAGTCAATTCTGATTCATAGTGACCCCATGGGACAGAGCAGAACTTGCCACTAGGGTTTCTAAGGCTGTAAATGTGGCAAGGGAGTGAGTCAGTGAATGAAAGAACAGAGTGAAGGAAGAAGCTGAGAAGCGTGTGGGACAGACACTCTCCTCATTTTACAGAGAGGGATGTGGAGGTCCTGGGTCAGCTGAGGGCAGCATTTGCACCTGGGTCTGGGTGGAAATCCAGGGCTCACCCCATGCACAGCCCATGGGAGGGGCCCACCGTCTCTCCCTCAGCCTTCTCCTTCCTCTGCCTTCCTGAGCACGCTGGCCTCCAGCATGGAGAAGAGTGGGGTGTGGGGGCGGGGATGCGGGGCAGCTGGAGGAGCCCCTGTGAAGTGGGAGCACTGTCCCATTTTCGCCCCATGCCATTTGCATGGTGTGGGGTCTGCAGTAGGTGCTCAGAGTTTCCTCAAAGTCTCTGATCTCAGAATTCCCCAGGGCCTTTATTAAAAGTAGATTCCTGGGCCGCCGAGAGTCAGATCATCTGGAGTAGGGCCCTGGAATCTGCATTTTAACAAGCAGCCCCAGGGGAATCTGCTGCAGCCGTAGCGGTAGAGCCTCAGCTGAATGAGGCAAGGACATGTGTGCCAGGGTGCCGGGTGCCTACGGAGCACAAAATGAGCACCGTCTGTCCTTGTGCTGTTATCAGCACTCACTCAGCACAAAGCAACATCCTCACCATCCTCATCATTAGGAAGCTGCTCAAGGTAAAAGCCTTCCCACCTCCCAGGAGACTTGCCACCTGAGGGTCCTTCCTGGCCCAGGACTCAGTTACTCCCCCTCCTCCTCACCCTAGTCTCCTCCCAACCCTCCACCCAGGTGCAGAGGCCGAGTCCAGAAACCAAAACCCCTAGTCCTGCTTTTTGCCTTCTGCCATAGGCAATGGGGGCTGCTCTCCCCCTCTGGTGACCCTGAGGAGGGCCACTGGCTCCCTGAGGTTCTGCTCAGAGTCACCTTTGCTGGCCTTGAGGGAACAACTGGACAGGGGTGGGTCCTGGAGCAGCAGCAGAGAGTCTGGGCTGTGTCTTGGTCTCTCTGCACAACCCTCCCAATTCCCTCAACTGACCCTTGGAGTGTATCCAGTGTGTGTGGAGGACCAGCACCTTCTCACAGGAGGGATGCCATTTTCAGGGACCAAGCTCTTTCAAAAAATGTTTCCTAAATGCTGTGCCTATGGGGTAGCTTCCAAAAGGCCTTTACTCAAGTCCAATGAAGTCGGTCCCTCTGGAGTGGGACCAAGACCAGGTGGTGCAGTGGTTAGGCACTCGACTGTGAACTGAAAGGTCAGTGGTTTGAACCCAACACCTACTCTGTGGGAGAAAGGTGAGATAGTCTGCTCCTGTAAAGATTTTATAGCCTTAGAAACCCAATGGGGCAGATTTACTCTGTTCTTTAGGGGCGCTATGGGTCTGAATCGGTTCTATGGCAGTGGGCCTGGATTTTGGTTGAGGTGGGACCCAGCACCATTAGTGCTTTCTAAAGCCCCAGTGTCAGGGAGGCAGGGCGCAGAACCAGCGTGTGAGAGCGGTGCTTCTCAGCCTGGAGTATAGATGAGGAAGCTGGGATCTGCTAAGCATGCGGACTGGACGGCAGTCCGGGCTGGGCCTGAGGTACTGTGTTTCCAAGACGCTCCCAGGGACACCAAGCCTGCTGCTCTCTAGACCACACTTTGATTTGAGGGACCTGAATCACCATGGTTTGGGTTTTCTAGGAAGGCCTATTGGCTCTTCCCGACCAGAACGACTCAGGGCAAAGAAAAGTGTCAGACTGACAGGCTGGGAAGTCTAGGGCCCCTACCCCAGCCACCAACTATGGGGAAAAGGGCCCCAAAGACTGGGGGGAAGGAGAGGCGGTTGCAGAACATTTAGGGGCTTTTCCTCTGACCCTGAGAATCACCAGCCCTTGGTGTCTATTAAGTTAGGGTTCAGAGTCCCCCCAAGGCAGTGGAAGGTGGGAAAGCCCCTTTGGAAGCCCCATCTGGGGACAAACTGTCATTCTCGGCCATCAGGTTGGGGGTGAACTCCAGAAACAGCCACAGCTCTGCCATCTGCCACCTCCTAGGTCTGTGAGTTTCTGTTACTGTGATGGTGTGTGTTACTGCAATGCTGGAAGCGATGCCACCAGTATTTCAGATACCAGCAGGGGCACCCATGGGGGACAGGTTACAGCAGAACTTCCAGATTAAGACCAGGAAAAAAGGCCTGGGGCTCTGTTCCTGTTAATTAGCCAGTGAAAATTCTGGGCATCACAGAACACTAACCGAGACTTTGACTCACTGCCTGGGACACATCAGATCCCAGAAAAGGACTTGGTGTTGGGTGAAGCTGAGGGTCGCAGGAAAAGAGGGACCCCTCCACGCGACAGACTGACAGTGGCCACAGCAATGGACTGGAACACCAGTATCTCGTGCTGTCGTACAAGGGGCTGCCGTCGGTCAGTGTCAACTCACTGGCATCTGGGAATCACTCCACAGATAGGGAGTCACACCATTCTCCCCTCCCACTCCCCTGCTGACCTGTGCACTGGAGGGCAGAGGCCGGTGGACACCAGGCCAGATCCAGGCCTGGCATTCCCTCCACACACACCGTGAGGCCCTCTGCCAGGTCTGCTTAGGGGGTTTGTGGGCAGGTGGGCCCGGAGCTCGAGGGCTCTGCGGGGACTTCATCGTGGGTTCTGACAGCCAGGCCGCAGCAGATTCCCCTGGAGTTGTCTGTTAGCATGCACATCCCAGGCCCACTCCAGACGTGACTCTCCAAGGCTGGGCCTGGGGAACTCGGGGATCAGAGACTTTTGGGAAACACTGACCTTCTGTAAACCCTGAATGTGGTGACCCAACACCAACATTCATGCATTTGTTCGTTCACTCACTCATTCCACATTAACATCTACAGCCGTCACTAACCCACACTCACGCCTCTCCCAGCACCGTGCTCCCGTCTCCCCAGGTCCACCTCTGAGCCCCAAGCGCCCCTTGCCTGACAACCCTTTTCTCACCCAGTCTCCCTCCCATCTCCGCTCCAGGGCTTTCTCTCGTTGGCCGGCTTTCCGGGCCACCTCACTGGCCCATTCCTCCGCGAGCCCCGGGCCCAGAACCCTCCCACCCCGCCTCCGCTGGGACCCGAGCCCACCCCCACCTCGCGACTGCGCTCTGGGCCGGCGTGCCCCGCCCCCACCCCACGCGCGCTGAGGCTGCACCTCGAGCGCAGGCTCGGGCCTCACTGGTCTGCGGACCCCCGCACCCGAACCCCTCTGCGGCGAGAGGGGAGCTGAGCCTCGGGCCTGGGCTCCAGGTGGGCTTGGGAAGATGAAGCAGGTAGGGCGGCGGGGATGCTGGCGCGGGAGGGTGGTAGCGTGGATGGGAGGAGCCAGCCGGAGAACCAGTGTGGGGAGGGGGGGCGCTGAGCCCGGAGGCCCGGACTGGGCTGGACCCCCAAAATGGAACCTGCGGAAGACGAGAGGGGCCTGGTCAGGAGGGTGGAAGGGCTTCAGATCGCGGCGGGCGAGGAGGGCCCGCAGCACTGAGGGATGGCTTGGGAGCCCAGCAAGGTGCCCGGGGAGTGGTGGGCGGGTGGGGTGGGGTGAGGTGTGCAGCCCAAGGCGGGGCTGCCATCGGCCTTTGGTGTGTCTCCCCCGCCCCCAGGCCCTGGTGGATGATACTGAAGATGTGTCCCTCGACTTTGGCAACGAAGAGGAGCTGGCCTTCGGGAAAGCCAAGATCAGGTACAGTGGACACAGGTTGTTAGGCAAGGATTTCCTCAAAACTGCCAACTCATTCATTCAGAATTTGTTGCACACCTACTGGGTACCAGGCTGGGGCTAGGGACACAGTGGTAACCCACCAGACAAGGTCCTTCCTATCCCTGGAGTGTGCAGTCTGCCAGCACTGACACCCAGTACGAACATTGTTCATGGTCCCACATCAGACAGAGCAGGCAGAGAGAATTAGGGTGTGACGAGAGCTGGGAGGAGACCCAACAGGATGATGAAAGAGAAGGTAACTGGGGAAGGCTACCTGCCTCCCCACAGTCAGAGAGGGCCTCTCTGAGGAGCTGATGTTTGAGCTGAGACTGCGTGAGAGAAGCAGCCAGCCATGGGAGATCCGGGGAGGAGAGTGTTCCGAGTAGAAGGCAGTGCAGGTGCAAAGGCCCCGAGGCTGTGCTGGAAGGTCAGAAAAAGGTGAAGGGGACAGGAGTTGACAGGCTGGAGAGGCAGACAAGGGCTGGAAGTCTTGTTCTAATCCCTACTTCAGTTTCTATCAGACAGACATAGTGTCTGGTTCAGCCGCTGCCTGCCTAGGCCATTAGCACCCTGGAAGGCAGCAGGACCAAGGCACAAGGAATCAATGCCACATCAATGCCACTGCCGACGGCCCAGGCAGTGGCCACATCGCGGGACACCCATGGCTCTGCCACACTACCTGACCCAGGACCTGCCTCAGATCTCCTTCAGCCGTCAGAGGCAGCAGGCATGGGGCCTGGCCCCTAAATGCAATCCTTTTAAATTCTTTAAATAACCCTCAGAGTGCAGTACTTCCAATGCTTCTGTTTAAGGGAGGCCCTCTAAGAGAACTGGAATCCTGGGTCAAGAATCTTACAGAACATGTACTGAGCATCTCCGTGTGTCCGACTCTGGGTTGGCTGGGGACATGCAGCACACAGGACACAGCCCTGGCCTGTCAGAGTTGCCCAGTCTACAGTAGGGTTGCTGCACCTCGGCACTACTGAGGCTTCAGGTCAAACGTTTCTAGTTGTGGCAACCAAAAATGTTCCCCAGACACTGCTAGATATCCTCGGGGGGGGGGGGGGGGGCACAGTTGCCCCCAATTGAGAGCCACTGGTGTGGAGGGGGTTGTACGCATACCAACAGCTCTTATAACTGTGTGTTGGGCACGTGCTCTGGTCAGGGGAGACTCCCTGGAGGAAGACAGAGGTATGCTGAGACAGGTAAGGATGGGTAGGAGTTAGCTAGACTGAAAAGGAGGAAAAGGGCATCACAGAGAGGCCAGTACCTGCTGAGGCCTAGAGGTCAGGTTGTGAGTTCAGAGAGTGGAGAGTCAGCCATGGGAGTAGCCTGAGCAGAGGCTGGGCTGGACCCCAAAGGGCGTGTAAGTCAACTTCTAGCGCTCCGCTGTCCACTAGAACTTTCTCTGAGGGAGAAACGTGCCATACCTGCACTGTCCAGTGTCATAAGCACAAGTCATGTGTGAGCACTGAAAAGCGGCCAGTGTGCCCAGGACCAGACATTTTCATCTTCTATCACTTTAATTAATTTAAATTACAAGACAGATAATCCAATTTAAAAATGGGCAGAGGACACGAACACACACTTCACCAAAGAAGACATTCAGGATGCCGAAAAAACACAGGAAGAAAGGCTTGCAATCATTAGCCATCAGAGAGATGCAAATCAAAACAACAATCAGATACCATCTCACCCCAGCACTAACAGCAAAGTTCAGAAATACAGAAAACAACAAATACTGTTGAGGTGTGGAGAGACTGGAACCCTCATACGCTGCTGGTGGGACTGTAAAATGATAAAACCACTGTGGAAAACGGTATGGTGCTTCCTTAAAAAGCTGGAAATAGAAATACCATTTGCTTCAGCAATTCTACTACTAGGTATGTATCCTAGAGAAGTAAGAGCCGTGACAGGAACAGATACATGCACACTCATGTCAATCAAGCATTGTTCACAATAGCAAAAAGACGGAAACAACCTAAATGGTCATCAGTGGATGAATGGATCAGCAGACTGTGTATGTACACACAGTGGCATAGTACACAACATTAGAGAACAATGATGAATTTGCAAAACATCTCATAAATTCCTGCGTGAATTTAGAGGCCACTATGCTGAGGGTAGCATAGTGCCTAAGGCACTTGACTGCTAACCAGAAGGCTGGCGGTTCAAACCCACCAGCCACTCCTCGGAAGGAAGGTTGGGCAATCCTACTTCCGTAGTGATACTGCCTCGGAAACCCAAGGAGGGGTCGCTATGAGTTAGGGCCGACTCGACGGCAAATAACAACAACAACAACAATGCTGAGTGAAGTTAGTCAATCACAAAAGGACAAATATTGCACGAGACCACTATTGTAAAAAGTCAAGAAACGGGTTTCTCTCTCTCTCTCTCTGTCTCTCTCTCTCTATCTCTCTCTCTGTCTCTGTCTTTCTCTCTCTCTCTCTGTCTCTCTCTCTCTCTCTCTCTCACACACACACACACACACACACACAAATATTTTTGGTGGTTACCAGGAGTGGGTGGGGAAGGGAGGCTAAACCACTAACCAGAGGGTGGACACATACTAACTTGGGTGAAGGAAAAACAAGAAACCCCATTGAGCATAGCTCTACTCTGACTAAATGGGGGCACCATGAGTCAGAATCAACTCCTAAGCAACTTTTTTTTTTTTTCTTTAAAATGCACTAAGCACTGTGCTGGATACTGAGAATACAATGTATCCCTGCCCTCATGGAGTTTAGTCTTGATCATCGAATGAATTTGGTTTTCTGAGATGAAAAAAATGAAAGTAACCTTTTGTGGCTATCATATTGGAATGTGCCATCTGGGCTTTATCTTCCAGGTCAGTGGGTCACCACTGCAGGGTTTGGCACACGGCGGTAACGTGATTAGAACTGAAGGGTGGAGAATGGGTCCAGTGAGGCAGAGTGGTAGCAGGGGTTGAATTGTGTGTCCTGCCCCAGATAGGTGTTGGTATCCTAACCCCTGTATCTGGGCACCTGATCCTGTTTGGGAATAGAGTTTACTTTGTTATGTAAAAAGGAACTCTGGTGGTGTAATGGTTAAGGCATTTGGCTGCTAGCCAAGAGGTTGGTGGTTCGAACACCAGCCGCTCTGTGGAAGAAAGATGAGGGAGTCTGCTTCTGTACAGATGTATTGCCTTGGAAACCCAATGGGGTCACTGTTGAGTTGGAATTGAAACAGTGGCAGCGAGTGAATTTGGGGTTTTTTTTTTGGTGGGGGGAGGGAGCGGCATGTTACTGAGGCTGTATCAGTGGAGGGGGTGTCCTAGCCCTAATTCCTTCTGAGTTATAAAAAAGGTTAGATTACACACAGGGGCGCTCACAGGAGGGAAGATAGCTGCCACGTGGGGACTGCCAAGGAACCAAGGAACACTGGGCGAGGGTTTCCTCCCGAGCACACAGAGTGAGCCTTCCCCTAGAGCCCGGGGCCCTGAATTCGGCTGTCTAGGTCTGCGGCAGAGGCATGTCCTCCGTGGGAAGAGAATGCAAGACTGTCGTTCTCTCTGGAGCTGGAAACTGTCCCTCCATGGAAAGCTAGATTCATACTTTCAAGGCACTGTCCTCATAAAATTTTTTGGGGTCAAAGAACATGGGTTCCAGAGCATCCCCACGCACAGCAGGATCAAGCCTCCACCCAGATTGCCTGGCTGTGACTATGGTCTCAGTTGTCAGAGCTGGTTTGTTCATATGGCTTGCTGAACATTTCTTAGTGGTCTTTGTATAGCCGAAAACAAAACCCCAACCTACTGACACTGAACAATTGCTACTCATAGTGACCCTATGGGACACAGCAGAACTGCTCCATAGGGCTTCCAAGACTGTAAATCGTACAGAACTAGACTGCTGCATCTTTCTCCCACAGAGAGGCTGGTGGGTTTGAACCAATGACCTTTTGGTTCACAGCCTAATGCTTTAACTGTACCACCAGGGCTTCTGTGTACAATTCAAAAAAACCCAAACCCACTGCCATTGAGTTCCAACTCACAGTGACCCCCACTGGGTTTTCAAGCTGGTAAATCTTTACAAAAGTAGACTTTCCAGTCTTACTTCTGGAGAATGGCTGGTGGGTTTGAACCACCAACCTTCTGGTTAACAGTCAGATGCCGTAGGCACTGTGCTACCACAGCTCCTGTATAGCCCAGTTGGCATCAAATTAAGAACACTGTCCCCTGGCCTCAGATTCTGCAGAGAGTCTTGTATTAGTGGACCCAGGTCCTAAGGCAAAAAGCATGTAACAAAACCCATCGGTGCAAACCCCATCAAGTAGAGGGATGTTTTCCCTTTCAACAAGTCTAGCACATTGGATACAAAAACTGTTCCTTAAATGAGCCCAGGTGAAGTTGCTGGTATTTTTTTTTCCCCCCAAGGTGAGAGACGTAGATTGAAGCCAGTTGTTTAGGGCATTTAGCTGTTAACTAAATTTCCGTAGTTTAGAAGCCTATCAGTCTAGTAAGGGCTTAGCTTAATAAAAGTGACCAGTTTGCATTCAGTTGGTGTGAGATAGAGAGCTTTGGTTGGAGAAGTTATACTGAATGCAAAACAGTAGTAGCAAACACTGATGTAGCACTTACTATATGCAGGCAGCAGTGTAAGTGTTTCACTTGCAATAATTCAAGATTTAACCCGCATTTCTAACCTATGAGTAGATGTTGTTGGGCGCCGTTGAGTCAGTTTCAACCCACAGCGACCCTGTGCACACAGAACGAAACACCGCCTTGTCCTGGGCACCCTCGCGATCCTTGCTACGCTTGAGCCCATTGTCAAAGCAGTGGCAGTCTGCCTTGTTGAGGGTCTTTCGGTTTTTTGCTGACCCTCTACTTTACCAAACGTGAGTCCTTCTCCAGGGACTGGTCCCTCCTGAGAACATGTCCAAAGTCCATGAGATGAAGTCTGGCCATCCTCGCATCTAAGGAGCATTCTGGCTGTGCTTCCTCCAAGACAGATTTGTTTGTT